TTTCCCTCCATATTTTCTCCCCTATTTCCCATTTTTTCCCCATTTTTTCCCAATTTGCTCCCTCATTTCCCCCACATTTCCCCCATTTCCCATTTTTTCCCATTTTTTTCCCATTTTTCCCAATTTCCCCCGTTTTTCCCCCATTTTTCAGCCTCCCTGACCCTGGTGGACCTGGCGGGTTCGGAGCGTTTGGAGAAATCGGGGTCGGTGGGGAATCGACTGCGCGAGACCCAATCGATCAACAGCAGCCTGAGCGCTCTGGGATTGGTCATCAGCGCCCTCTGCAACAAGGTTTGGGTGAAAAAATGGGCATTTTGGGATTATTGGGGTCAAAAATGGCATTTATGGGATAAAAAATGGGATTATTGGGGTTATTGTATGGGTATATGGGGTTATTGTATGGGAAATGGGGAAAATCCATCAACAGCAGCCTGAGCGCTCTGGGATTGGTCATCAGCGCCCTCTGCAACAAGGTTTGGGTGAAAAAACCTCGATTTTGGGATTATTGGGATTATTGGGGTCATTTATGGGATTATTGTATCAATATATGGGGTTATTGTATGGGAAATGGGGAAAATCCATCAAGAGCAGCCTGAGCGCCCTGGGGCTCGTCATCAGCGCCCTCTGCAACAAGGTTTGGGTGAAAAAATGGACATTTTGGGATTATTGGGGTCAAAAATGGGATTATTGGGATTATTGGATCAATATATGGGATTATTGTATGGGAAATGGGAAAATCCATCAACAGCAGCCTGAGCGCGCTGGGATTGGTCATCAGCGCCCTCTGCAACAAGGTTTGGGTGAAAAAACCTCGATTTTGGGATTATTGGGATTATTGTATCAATATATGGGATTATTGTATCAGTATATGGGATTATTGAATGGGAAATGGGAAAATCCATCAACAGCAGCCTGAGCGCTCTGGGATTGGTCATCAGTGCTCTCTGCAACAAGGTTTGGGTGAAAAAACCTCGATTTTGGGATTATTGGGATTAAAAATGGGATTATTGGGATTATTGGGGTTATTGGGGTCATTTATGGGGTTATTGTATGGGGAAATGGGGAAAATCCATCAACAGCAGCCTGAGTGCCCTGGGATTGGTCATCAGTGCTCTCTGCAACAAGGTTTGGGTGAAAAAATGGGCATTTTGGGATTATTGGGGTTAAAAATGGGATTATTGGGGTAAAAAATGGCATTATTGGGGTTATTGTATGGGTATATGGGGTTATTGTATGGGAAATGGGGAAATCCATCAACAGCAGCCTGAGTGCCCTGGGATTGGTCATCAGCGCCCTCTGCAACAAGGTTTGGGTGAAAAAACCCCCATTTTGGGATTATTGGGGTCAAAAATGGGATTATTGGGATTATTGGGATCATTTGTGGGATTATTGTATGGGTATATGGGGTTATTGAATGGGAAATGGGGAAAATCCATCAAGAGCAGCCTGAGCGCCCTGGGATTGGTCATCAGTGCTCTCTGCAACAAGGTTTGGGTGAAAAAACCTCGATTTTGGGATTATTGGGGTTATTGTATCAATATATGGGATTATTGTATCAGTATATGGGATTATTGAATGGGAAATGGGAAAATCCATCAACAGCAGCCTGAGCGCGCTGGGACTCGTCATCAGCGCCCTCTGCAACAAGGTTTGGGTGAAAAAATGGGCATTTTGGGATTATTGGGGTCAAAAATGGGATTATTGGGATAAAAAATGGGATTATTGGGATAAAAAATGGGATTATTGGGGTTATTGTATGGGGAAATGGGGAAATGGGGAAAATCCATCAACAGCAGCCTGAGCGCCCTGGGATTGGTCATCAGCGCCCTCTGCAACAAGGTTTGGGTGAAAAAATGGGCATTTTGGGATTATTGGGGTCAAAAATGGGATTATTGGGATTATTGGGGTCATTTATGGGATTATTGGGGTCATTTATGGGGTTGTGGTATCGATATATGGGGTTATTGTATGGGGAATGGGGAAAATGAATGGGAACTGGGAAAAATGGGATTTGGGATGGGAAAATTGGGAATTGGGAAATGGAAAAATGGAAAAACTGGGAATTGGGATTGGAAATTGAGAATTTGGGATGGGAAATGTGGAATTGGGAAATGGGAAAATTCAATGGAAAATGGGAATTGGGAAATGGGGAAATTGGGATTTGGGATGGGAAAATGAAAATTGGGAGATGGGAAAATGGGATGGAAATGGGGAAAATGGGATAGAAATGGGAAAAAATGGGTTAGAAATGGGAAAAAATGGGTTAGAAATGGGAAAAATGGGATGGAAATGGGAAAAATTGGATGGAAATGGGAAAACGGGATGAAAATGGGAAAAACGGGGTGGAAATGGGAAAAATGGGACAAAGGATAGAAAAATAGGGTGGAAATGGGAAAAATGGGGTGGAAATGGGGAAAATGGGATGGAAAATGGGAAAAATGGGGTGGAAATGGGAATTTTGTGGAATTGGGATGGAAAAAATGGGGTGAAAACAGGAAGAAATGGGAAAAAATGAGGTGGAAATGGGAAAAATGAGGTGGAAATGGGAAAAATGGGATGGAAATGAGAAAAAAATAGGATGAAAATGGGAAAAATGGGATGGAAATGGGAAAAATGGGAAAAATGGGATGAAAATGGAAAAATGTGGAATTGGGATGGAAAAATGGGGTGGAAATGGGAAAAATGGGATTTTTTGGGGTGGGGGCCGGGTCTGAGCCCCCGGAATTTTTGGAATTGTGTGGAATTTTTGGGAATTTTGGGGAATTTTATGGAATTTTGTGGAATTTTCCGGAATTTCCCGCAGGAGTCGCACATCCCGTACCGGAAC